TTTTTTGGTGTACTACTTACATTTCCAGCGGCTTCGATTTTTCCACTGAAAACGATGTCATTGCGCAAAGTCCAAAAAAGGCACACAGCAAGCCGCGCGGTATATTTTTGCAGTTTGTGTTAAATATTGGCATTCAAAAGGTTTTCGATCTTGAAACTCACAAACTATTGCAGTGACTTGCTTAACCTAATATTCATCTCGCAAATTAGCAGGGTGGATGCTTTAGGTTACAAAGGGATATCATTCAGCAATCTCCACTCCATCACCACCCAAAAAATCTTTGTTTCGACCGCTCGAAAAATGGATTCAGTCCCCACAAGTGATGCTCTCTTCTGATTTTCACCCCTTGTTTTCCTAAAACGCTGCTCTGATGCTAAAAGTCGAGAGTTCAACTTCGCCATTGGATAACCTATTTCTTTACAGTTTGTTCAGTCATATCATTGGTCACAGTTGGTACTGTTACATTGTCTAAAAATCAGACTCGCATCACCAGCTTGCTTATAGGTAACGCTCGAGATACAGAACCATCACTGTTAAGTCTTGCCACAGTTCAAGGTACTTCTCAGCGTCTCCGAATGATGCTTTAATGCAGATTCCTCTATCGCTTCATGCTAGATTTGAAGACTCTGGGCTGTTCGTTTCCAGAAAATCGGTGGATCAGTTGGAACATGATATAGCACTCTTGATGTGTAAGATAGTAGTATATGAAACACAGCAACACCCTGCAAAATTAACCATAAGTTGCTAGTGCTGATACAAGAAAACTGGAACAAGAGAGCAGCGGCCACGTTCTTTCCTATACTAAATTCAATGCACATCCTCGCTGGGCCCCGATACAACTGTTAGTATTTCAGGACAGCGGTCCAGAGATTCAAGTTGAAGAAATGAGTGCCACTCATGATTTAGCTACAACAACACAAGAAGCAGGCGCCGCGGCTGCAGATGCTCACAAAAAAGCAGAAGTGTCAAATCAGGAACCAGCTAGCGAACCGACTGAGCCCATTTTTACCCCGGGGAACGTTGCATCGAGTACTGGCAGTGGTGCCGAAAGCGCTGAAAAATCGGTTCCGGGTCTGGCCGCAGAAAATGTTGAAGGAAAAACGGATCCTGCGATGATGCGTGAAGCCGCTGGAGAACAAACGGTGACGGCAACAAATCAGAAAGCAGATTGGTTGCACCAGATGCGTACGTATCGTGCAGAACTGGATGAAGAATTGAGTGGTGTTTCCAGTCTAAGTGATTTGGCCAGTTACACAACAGAACGAGTTAAACACTGTCTACGTATGAGCCGAAGAATGTTTGCTGTAGCAGAAAAAGGCTGTGAAAATTGCGCCATGATATGTGTCGAACTGAACGCATTTGCGGATAGATTCTACAAAATGCTAGATGGGCAGCACATAACGACAAGTACCGAGGATCCTCTAGCAAAGGATGCGAAAGAAACTGCGAAAATCATCGAAAAGGTTGCTTGATGTGAAATTTAATTTAACCGCATAGAAAAAAACTCAGAATTTCGAAAGTAGGAGGGACATCTTTTGATTTGTCGTTGTGTCACATACACAATGTCGTTGTGCCACATACACAACGACAAATCAAAACATGTGCTTCTTATGATAAATCAAAAGATGTGAAAATACCAAGACGGCCGGACATCAGTTTGAGTGTCCCACAATAATGAGCCGTGCGATCATGTGTTTTTGCAGTGTTTCATGCTGTAATGAAATTGCTCGGAAACCTAGTAGCTAAAAATGTGTGACATACTGATCTTCGAATTTCAGGAAGTTAATTGTCCATGCTGTATTTGAACAAGGAACATTCTCTGAAAATTTCAGCCTGCTTGCTTTTTCGGCTCCCGAATTAGCCATTTTTTTCGCCAAGAATTTCCATTTGGCCTTACAAGAGAACCACGCACACCGAGGGGCTGAATTCGATAACTTTAAGTTATACATGTGCTGGTAACACTCCCTATAAATCTCAGCCTCCCAGCTTCCCTGGTTACCGAGTTAGCGGTTTTCCCGCAAAAAACTCTCACGGGGCCGTACGTGAGAACCACGCATGCTCGGGAGCTGAATTTGATAAATTTAAGCAGTACATGTGCTAAGAACATTCTCTGAAAATTTCAGCTCTCCAGCTTTCCTGGTTCCCAAGTTAGCCGTTTTCTCGCCAAAACTTTCACCCGTCGTACGCGGGGCCCAGACTTGCGTGAGGGTTGGTACCGCGATCTTGGGGTGGCACTTGGCCGGGGAACGCGTCGCCAAAATTTTAGCGCCGAGGCTTGCTTGGGTGCCGAGTAGAAATGTCCGGACAGACAGACAGACATACACCGGGGTCGTAACAATATACGTTTTTGCATTTGCATATAAGCAAAAACGCATAATAATGCTGAGATTCCCCCACACACCTGATGCAGG